CAGGGCTAAGTCGGAAGATATATTTGTAGATAAACATATAAGTATACGTATGATATGTGAATCATAATCCGTGAATTTTTGCTTTCGATTTTGCAAAATTCTAAAGCCCTCGTTGCAAAACTTCCCCTTTACTTTCGTATACAGCAATGAGATGAGTTTTAAAGGACAATAATTAATACACAGACATGACCTTTAAAATAAGCATTAAGTGTTCGATTCTGTTCATAACACTCTCAACTGGTACGTGTTACGCTGTGCTGAAGTAAGGGGGAGTATTGCAACGGGGTTTTCAACTTTTTCGAATTTTACAAAATCGAAATCAGAAACTCACGTTTGTAAGCCACTACTGCATTAAATAGGTACTCTTCCGACACAAAAAATGTAAGTCATCGAACCCCGTTGATATTTGTTTTCCGGTCTTCTTTTGATAAACGGTGAATATAGCAGTGAACAGGTAATAGTGTAGACTGGCAAAGTCGGGACTTTTTAATTTTAATTAATTGTCAATTTACGCCACTTTGTGTGTTTATTGTATTTACAATCATGTTAACGCCCTCTTGTGTTCGCTTTACATTTTGCTACGCATGCTCTGTTCTCTCGTTGTGTTTTCCCCGCCATGTTGGTTCTGTTTTCCCGTTGAGAAATAAACGGAGTTACTCGCTCGTTAGCGCTCCAACTGAAGTGTCTGGTTGTAGTCCAAGCATTGTATACAAAAGGTCTGTGTCCATACTGGCGTTAGTCTTTTTCTTTTTAAAAGGACTTAAAACAATTTGCCAGTCTAGTGATAGTGTTGCAGATTTCATTTGTATGATGAGACCACCCTCCCAGCCAGCCAACCTCTGACAGTTTCACGATTCAGTCTATATCGCGAAATGTAATACAGCAGTGGTTTACAAACGTGAGTTTTTGCTTTCCAATTTTGTGAAACCTGGGAATGATGAAAATTCCGTTGCAATACCCTCTTACTTTCGTGTACAGCGATACACATGCCTGCTGAATGAGGTTTGTTCAATGGCTCTCTTGTGCATTTGCAATTTAAAGCAATCATTGGATTGAATAGGTCGATGTGATTATTGTGTTTGTTTTGTTTGCTGCCTGCGTATTTGTGTGAAATCATTATCGCGTATTTGTAAATTATTGATTTTAACGATTTTAATTTGTATGGACAATTTTGAATGTCGATTTGAATTGATTGTCAACAACTTTGAAATTTGTGTTTTAAGTTTTAAATTTTCACTGTATATCGTTTTTGGGGGGGGATTGAATGAACGCGAAATGGATAGATATTACAGAAAATGAAGCCGCGGGAATTGATGACACATAGAAATGTTGTAGATAAGCGGAGACGATTCTTCAGGACCTGCATTTTATCGAACCAACCTAATTTTGTCATATATATATTTCAAACTTTTGATCGCTCATTGGTTCTAGGGAGGTAAAAAAAAACACCGATATCATGTTTGCACTTCGCGGGAAGCTACATACCACAGCACTACACTAAACTATAGTGAACAGGTAATAGTGTAGACTGGCAAAGTCGGGACTTTTTAATTTTCATTAATTGTCAATTTACGCCACTTTGTGTGTTTATTGTATTTACAATCATGTTAACGCCCTCTTGTGTTCGCTTTACATTTTGCTACGCATGCTCTGTTCTCTCGTTGTGTTTTCCCCGCCATGTTGGTTCTGTTTTCCCGTTGAGAAATAAACGGAGTTACTCGCTCGTTAGCGCTCCAACTGAAGTGTCTGGTTGTAGTCCAAGCATTGTATACAACAGGTCTGTGTCCATACTGGCGTGGTGGCAGCGTCCTTCGGATCTCACAAGCCTGCTATACACGTACGGACTTTACACACGCATATTGTGTACAGCCAGTCAGTCAATATATCGACTGGATAATACTGACGTTGATTTCGTTAAGCAATACTAATCACCGATATCATGTTTGCACTTCGCGGGAAGCTACATACCACAGCACTACACTAAACTATAATGGTTAGAAACTAAATTAAAGCAGAGTGATAATATACGCCATCATGTATACATTGGTATCGCTCATTGTACTTGAATAAGGAGGCATTAGGAGGAATCGAAATGGCGAGACAAAGGGCGTGATGGCCAATAATTGTATTGCGAGCTTTAAAATTAAAGAGTTAATGTGCGACTCAAAGAAACTGACTTTGTGTGAATGATTTTTTGTTCCGTTATCACATCTAATGGTACCCGTGTATTAGTGAATGCTAGAAGTTTTCTCTCTTATTTCACAGCTTACCAAATGCGTTCACTGGATGCTGTAATGCCTAGTTAAAATACTATTAGTTAGGAATGAGTGTGAATTGACTTATAGTGTTCCCTTCTAATTGTATTTATTTATTTATTTATTTATTTATTTATTTATTTATTTTTCTCTTTACTTTCTTTTTGCAGACTTAAATTAGTTTATATTTGCTTGATTTTATATCATCATGGTATCACTTCCAACAGATCCACTATCACTACTCGTGTTCGTACTGGTAATATTATTGCTAATGATAACTTTCCATCACTACCAAGCACCTTGCAAGAACTTCCCACCTGGACCATGGGGGTTACCAATCATCGGTAGTTTTATTTACTTTGGAAAAACTTCGTACAAAGATATGATGCGATTATCAAAGCAATATGGTGATGTTTACAGCTTAAAGATGGGTTCTCGTATTGTTGTCGTTGTAAGTGGTACAGATGCAATAAAAGAATGTCTGGTGAAGAGGGGAAACACCTTTGCTGATAGACCAAACATGTGGCTAATGGATCTATTCAATCCAAAATATGAAGGTATGATTATATCAATTACGATTGATAAATGATTTGACAAATTTATCAATACCATTTTGCAACTCGAGGACAGCATATTATATACTTTGTTATGAGACGTGTCTATTCCACAGGTATTGCTGATGGTCACTTTGATGAGAAATGGCAACGTCGTCGACAATTCGCCCACACAACACTTAGAGGCTTTGGATTTGGTAAAACAAGTATGGAGAGTAAAATATCTGAGGAAGTTTCGTTCTTGTTAGATGAATTTAGGGTAAGGGTGGAATTTTAAATAGTGATACTACTATCTGTACATGACACATATTGTTTATAACCATCGTTATCTGTATATTCCTTTAATTCTTAATTTAATACAGGATATCCAAGGTAAACCTATTGATGCAGGTCCAATGGTTAACAGGAGTGTCTCCAATGTAATTTGTTCAATAGCTTTTGGAAAACGTTTTGACTATTCTGACAATACGTTCAAGTTAATGATTGATGTTATGGGTAAATGGTTTGAGTTAGCTGGTAAGATGTTTGAGCTCGACCTTTTTCCTTTCCTGAGACCCTTTAGCAAGACACACATCGATTGTTTCGTACAACTTGGTGATGATTTGAAAAAGTTCTGCAAGCAGCAAATTGATGAACACCGTGAAGTATTCGATCCAGACAACATCGGTGATTTCATTGACGCATACTTAGCTGAGACAATGAAACAAGACGGCAATGAAGATTTTACAGACGACCAGTTAAAACACACATTAGTTGACCTTTTTTCTGCCGGAACTGAAACTACAGCGACTACACTTAAATGGGGGTTACTATTCATGGTTCTCCATCCAGAAATACAGGAACGGGTTTTTAATGAGATTGATCAGGTATGTAGGATACATCAACAACTTGTGTGTCTCATGCAATTTGTATAGGTAACAGTTGCATTTTGCAGTAGATTACTAACCGATTGTTTGCAATATTTTGACCATGTGACCATGGTGGAATAGTACTGCTGATATGCTACGGTAAACGTTTGAAGTGCGTGTTCGAACAGCTTTATTACCATTTTAGATAATTGTTCGCATGGTAAAATGACAGTAATAATGCTGACAGCTTTTTGGGGGATGTCGCTAAGAAACGGTAATATTTATTTATTTCAAAGTTGACCAAGAGGCGGGACTGAACAGAAAAACAAGCGAAAGTGTCCGACAATGATGACACCGATAAAGCTGTTTACGTTTCTTTAAGAACGGTCTGCCGGAACTCCACTATCTGGTCCCATCACCCATTGCAAAGCATACAACTCAATATGGCGACTTTGAATTTAAGGCCAGTTCAGGGTGGTTCTTGCGATGGCAAAGAAGACACGCTATCGACACACGCAGTCTCAATCCAAGGCGAAGCTCGATCTGGGAACATTGACGCTGTCGGAGCTTTTCCCGAAAAACTGAGAGAAATTATCTATGAAGGTGGTTATTTTGACGAACATGTTTATAATTGCGATGAAACTGGTTTATTTTGGAAGGGAAGCTGTTACCGTCGAAGTCGCAAGCAACAGCAAGCAGCCCACATAATATCAGACACAAACAAAATAATCAACGCAATGTTTACAGCAAACATAATCATGATTTTATTCGAATACTGCCTGACACATGTGATGATACATCAATTAACTAAACCGAGGGTTTATATGTGCTTTTTATATGTTTTTCAATGCACGACCTCCCTCTTTCACGACGTCCCTCGGTAAGTCGCGGCCCTCGATAAGTCGCGGTTTTTGCTTGGATCCCAACACCCGCGACTTAGCGAGGGGCCACTGTATTTTGATTATCGTAAACTGCAAATTCGCGACTATCGACGCTCATTGACGCCATGTATGGTTGACTCGTATCACCCTGCTCTATGAACAAGTGATATCAGTTGATAACCTAGTAGTAATGTACGCTTTTGAAAACATACTATATATAGAATACTAAATAAACATTTGTTGTGATACATACGTGTAAGTTACCTTTATGTTTTCTCAATATTGAAGGTTGTTGGAGTAAACCGTCTTCCGAGACTCGAAGATCGCAAAGACTTGCCTTATACAGAAGCCACTATTCTCGAGATACAAAGACTTGGTAGTATTGTGCCATTCGCTCTGCAACATTCCACAATGCGTCATAGTATCCTGGGAGGATATAATATTCCTAAGGGAACCGAACTCACTGTTTTATTATGGTTAGTTTTCATTTTGCTTATGTTAATGTCCTAAATACAAACAGTATGCTGATCGGTATTGCTGTCTTAGGCTAATAAAGGAACGTTTGAGTACAATGTAATGTAATGCAATAACATTTAAAAATATAATAATATTTACAAATATGTATATGTATTTACTATCGTTATTATTAGGTCAATTCATCACGATCAAAATGCCTGGTCCAATCCCGGCAAATTCGATCCAAAGAGATTCTATGATTCTATGATCAATGCAGTCAGAAAAAGTGATCATTTCATGCCATTTTCTGCAGGTACCGTTTTTATTACTATATGTGTAAAAGTAACTGTTCTAGTTTTGCCATCTTCGTGTGATGTGCACTATACATATGGGGGGAAATTATTACATTACTCACCTCATAACAATACAAAGTTTTTGGATTGCAATCCGTGTCAACTAGAGTCGTATATGCAACTCCTACGTGCTGATTCATTGTTTTGTATGTTATAGGTCGACGTGTCTGTATGGGTGAACAGTTGGCAAAACATGAATTGTTCCTATACTTCACAGCCATGATACATCAGTTCAAGTTCACCTTGCCAGTTGGAACCAAGAAACCCTGCACTGAAGGTGTTCTGGGACTGACATTGGTTCCTGCCCCATTCAAAGTTATCATCGAAGAAAGAAACTCCTAAATAATGTTCATGTATATCGATGTTGATTTCTGTGTATCCGAGAAAACTTAACAAGAAGTTAATTCAATCACAACGGAAACTTTTGCATAGTAATGATGTAATGTAAACCTCGTATAGTTTTTTGATTTTGATACAGTAGTAGAATTTGAAATGAAACAGAAATCAGCAAAATTAAGTAATGTAATTGTACAGTTGATGTAGTTTCAACACAAACCCTGTAATGGCGATGTTCAAAATATGTTTGTTATTGATACGTATGATGTTACTCTGATGGTTTTTTGTCTAATTGCATTGCATCATTTACAGTATTGGCTTAAACGAGAAATGATAAGGTTGATATGGAACCAAATTGAAAATCATGTGACATGTTCATTATACTGTCATTATTATGGGCTTATGTCATCACAACATACAGGCAAGTTCTTAAAAATGGTCCATGGAGCAATTTTTCATTGAAAGGGGTCGTTTTTACACTGGTTTCCATGGTGAGAATATTTTTGTATACCTCAAAATTTTGCTTGGTAACTTAAGATGAAAAAGTCAGATATTATTATTGCTACTAATCTTAATATTAGTATTGTACAGCATATATCATTGCTGAATATGCATATATTGAGTATTTATTTCGTATTACAGGTCAATATCCAAGTCCAGTGAATGACTTTGTCGCACACATAAACAAGTATTTGTATTTTTAGAGCAACAATGGCTGTCTAAAACTCATTTATTATGATCTAATCTGCAAATTTCGTGATTCGTATTTCTTTTTGTTTGTTGTTATGTAACCTACTGAATATACTATATGTAGTCTCGATGAACAGCAATAGAATTCATCACTGTGCTGCGATTTACAGATTTTGACCAAATGTATGGCGTTATATCCGACTTTGACAAATACTTGGGGATTATATCTGAAAACCCATACTTTCTCGTGGTGTTTCTAGTACACACTATAAAACACGCCTTTATCTGAGATCCTACTACTACCGAAAATGACATTGACATCACATTGACGTATCGAACGAAATGACAAAACAAAAAATCTATTTTGCCCGTAACTCGAAGTTAACTGTTATTTTTAGTTCTAGTTACTAAATGTGGACGTTTAACAAAAATAAAAATATATGTTGCCCGTAACTCGAATTTCTGTTATTTGGTCATCGAGTTAATGGGCAACTCGATGTCCGTAACTCGAACAATTCAGCATCACCACTTTTCAAACTCGTAGAGCATATATATTTCTTCCATATACTCTCCTCGCTGCGCTCGTAATTAATTAATATTAGTTTTTTTTTAAATCAATGAATTTACCTTTTCTTTTGTATTTCTTTTCAATTGCCTCATAAATAAATCATAATTACCAAGTAATCAATGTTAAGGCTACGTAATCGTGGTCACGTACAGTACTAAGATTACACATGATCCGGTGGTGACCGAGTTCTTGTGGCCCGGCTCGCCTGATTATCTCAATTCTTCAAATTAAAATGGGGACACATAATAATAGTGTTGACTAGTGGATTTTCAGTTTGTCTGTTTTGGGATAAAACTTTGCTGTGGATGGTTTCAAGCACTAATTTTGCATGTGAAAACACATTTTTTTAGATATTGTAGCTTTGAAATCTCCAGCAATTATTATTTGCATACATCACTTTAATAAACTGTATCTCTTTCTTTCTTATATTGGAGATTCTGGAATTCTAATTGTGAGTGTTCTGAGTGTTGGTTTCTATGAATAATTTGTTTTAATTTTTTTAATAATTTTTTTGTGATTATTTATATACTTTTATACTTATATAATTGTTTAAAGGCAGTTAACTATTGTTTCATTTCAATGCGCATTTGTGATTAGTGGTACTTTGATGTCAATAGAAGCGTAGAATTTAGTACAACTTTCACATTAGTCGAAATAATCAAATAATGACATACTGTGTGTATCAGGGAAATCGAACCATGGCATAACATTTGAACATACATTGACCTAATTTCATGTCATTGGTCTCAACTATAGTTTCAAAATTACGTCATCATTGTGGGATACCAGAGTGTTCACGTGAACTCCTACGAACTTTGCCCCCGGAAGTAAACAATACCTAAAATACCTGCCGATGGTTATGCAATGAGGAGGTACGTCACAATGTACTCTAGTTGTCATTCTTGAACCACATCTTTGCAATTGTTAATATTAACGATTTACACGAGCTGTTTTGTGATTTAGTTATAGACATATAATGCACAATGGGGATACTACTGTACCAAAATTCACATGACTACGAAATCTCGTTCCGTTATTTTATGTACGAGTTTGTATTGTAATTCAAATAATATATTTGCCTTGACCTGAAATGCAAGATCGTTAGCCAATAAGACGACCTGCAGTGTGTATGTATGTATGTGTGGTATGTTGCTGCATAACTGACATTGATGATTGCAATGTGTTCGTGTCTGCCCATCGACGGTTCAATGGCATGGTAATACGACTAAAGTAAATTGACCCTTGCAAATTATGTATCGATCACAGTCAAATCTAAATATAACATGGCCATGGAATGACAATTACTTTGCCGAAAATAAAGTAGTTACAGTGGTGCTGACAAAAGTTAAGTATTATATGTTCGCAAAATATCCAAGAGCGAAAGGTCGGTCTTTAATAATCTCCCATTTTCAGAGACCGCATAACAAGTGAATAGTGTTTGCGGGCGCTTACCACACTCCAAAGCAATCACGCCATCTACGGTACAATTGATCAAGAGATTCACAAGGTGTTTACAGGTTGTACACAATTAATGAAAAGTATTTAACAACCCATTTCTCCTTATATGTTTATGTCTGTTTAAGAATCACTTTATTATAAGTTTATGTAAAATGTGCGATAGGTGAATGATTATTTGTTTTTCTCCCAACTTGAGTTTTACTGTTGGTCACATAAGCTCCTATAGTACTGTGAATCCTTCACCCGATGTTCAAGGTGTCTTATTTATCGTCAGAAAAGTGTTTTGTATTGTTGGTAGTTTGTTTTGTTCTTTCGTATTAATTAGAAAGGTGTTAGTTGCGTGGCCTTGTTCGAGAAAAAGATTTGTATAAAACCACCCAATTTTTTTTGTCTAACGAGCATATAAACTATTTATACAAGTAGTTTTATGGAAAAATGAGCTAATTATTTTTAAAACGCCCATGACCATAAACAATCATGTTTTGATATAATTAAATCGCTCGTGTTTTGACTGTGGTCGAGCTTGACATGTCAACAATATGTTATAATATTTTCTAAATATAAAAGAAAAGCATAAACATAATTTTAGACCTTGAGATTCCATTAAACAGCATCAGCTTTCTAAATATTTGTAAGTGGATTTTTCTCAATTTTCTTGCAGATATCAAGTAGTTCATCTCAGTAACAATTCTTACCATGATGATGTCATTCTCTACTGATCCAATATCTTTACTTGTGTTGTTTTTGATAATAATATTGGTATGGATAACAGTCAAGCACTACCGGGCACCTTGCAAGAACTTCCCCCCAGGACCATGGGGTTTACCAATAATCGGTAGTTTTATTTACTTTGGAAAACATGCTCCGTACAAAGATATGATGCGATTATCAAAGCAATATGGTGATGTTTACAGCTTAAAGATGGGTTCTCGTATTGTTGTCGTTGTAAGTGGTACAGATGCAATAAAAGAATGTCTGGTGCAGAAAGGAAATGATTTTGCCGACAGACCGTATTTATGGGTTATTGATCAAATGAACCCTAAATATGACGGTATTATTACTTCTTAATTTTTTCCCTATTTTTGACTTTGATATTTGAATATAATGATATTATAACAAACATGTTGTAGGTAATAATGTGATGTATATTACAGCATGAATTGCATACTTGTATTTCTTCACTGACATGTACATGCTTTCTCGTATTTAACCACTCTCTAACAAAACTATATATATAATTATATAGATATTTATGTAAAAACCTAGTCTACTGGTCTATTTTACAGGTATTGTGCATGGCCACTTCGATGATAAATGGCAGCGTCGTCGACAATTTGCCCACACAACGCTTAGAGGCTTTGGATTTGGTAAAACAGAGATGGAGAGTAAAGTAGCTGAAGAGATCTTGTTTTTGCTGGATGAATTTAGAGTAAGGCTGGTTTAATAAAAATAATATTGATTACAATAACTTCCAGTGATGTAAATGGCCATCAATTTTGATCTAATGGTCTTTATTTTTATTGACTCAATTACTCTAGAATATTCAAGGAAAACCTGTCAATACAGACTCTGTAATCAACAGAAGTGTATCCAACGTAATTTGTTCAGTAGCCTTTGGTAAGCGGTTTGACTACTCTGACCCTATACTTGGTTTCATGATTGATATTATGGGTAAATGGTTCGAGTCATCTCGCAAGATGTTGGAACTCGATGTTTTGCCATTTTTGAGACCATTCAACAAGCAACTCATTGATAACTTCTCTACATTTGCTAATGAGGTGAAGAAATTCTGCATGCAGCAGATAGATGAGCACCGTGAGGCATTCGACGAAAACAATATTGGGGATTTCATCGATGCATACTTGGCTGAGGCAACCAAAGAACACAGCAAAGAAGATTTCACTGACAATCACCTAGCACAAACGTTAGTTGATCTGTTTTCTGCTGGCACGGAAACTACGGCAACAACGCTTAGATGGGGGTTATTATTTATGGTTTTGCACCCAAAAATACAACAATTAGTTTTCAATGAGATAGATCAGGTAAGGTTTATCAATTAATTAATTAAATGGTTCACCCAGTATTTATATATGGCCTACTATATCCGTTTTAATACACGTGTACATCATATGAATGTACCTTTGTTTTCCTTTTATTATTCTTCATCAAAGTTGAAAGATATTTTCTTACTTTTTATATAATTCAAGGTTGTTGGGCCAAACCGTCTTCCTAGGCTTGCGGATCGCACATACTTGCCTTACACAGAAGCCACACTTTGTGAGATACAGAGACTGGGTAGTATTACACCAATAATATTACCACATGCTGCATTGGTAGATTCTACACTTGGTGGTTATGATATTCCAAAAGGAACAGAGATTTCGATAATACTATGGTTAGTTTTATCGTGTCTGTCTTTCATGTTGCGATTGTTATGTGCAATCAACACGTTACAATGCAATACAAACAAATGATCTTTGTTATTTCTGTAAATATTTTGTACAATGTCTGTTGTGCCATATTTCTAATAAGTGAGATTAGCTTGCCTACACGGTTCTGATGTGTTGTTTTTGTATGTACTTCTCTATTAGTGTTCTTTTCATTTACATGTAAAAATGTAAAAATCACGACAAAATATTATATCATTAGGTCTATGCACCTGGATCCACATGCATGGCCCAATCCCGACGAGTTTGATCCCAACAGATTCTATGATCAGAAGACGAATGCACTCAAGAAAAATGAGAATTTCATGCCATTTTCTGCAGGTTAATATTTTATTAAAATTCAATTCAATAATTTATATTATTACCAAACGCTTCAGCGTGGTATTAAGAGTTTGTTTTCAGGGGTGGGTGATACCAAGGTGGGAAATGGATGC